CAGCACAACGACTTAGCCTGAAACCCTATTCCAAGCAGGCCACTTCTCCTGTTCTCCTAGATCTGGGAAGAGGAAGGACTCAGAAAAAAAAATTCGCTCCTTTCAGACAATTTTTCCTTTGTTACTCCTAACCTTGAAGTTTACCCTGATTGTCACCCCTTTGTTGATCAATCCTTGGGTACCCCACACTGCTCCCCTAGCCTGTTCCTTGTCTTTTACCATCCCTTCAGCCTTCCCATAATAGTCTTACTCACCCAAGGCATAGTTCACAGGTCACTTCCTCCAAGAAGCCTTCTCTGGTCACTCCCAGCTAATTGGACTTGTTCTTCCAGCCTACAAGGCACTCTGTGATTCTTCTGTGGCATTGTTTTACATTGGTGATTATGCTTCTTATTTCCCTTCCCAGACTGTAATATTCCTGCACATTGACTTACCTTATTTCACCTTTGTTTTGTCACAGCATTTCACTGAACACCTGGAAGGCTTTCAGGAGATATTTGTGGAATAGAAATAGCATGGGATTGGGAAAAAGCACTGAACTAGAAATAGGGTGTGTTTCTAGTATTAACTGTGAGACACACTATTGGCTGCCTGCCCAGCATCACTGCTTCCACATTGTCAGAACCCTGATTTTGTTGAGATAAGCGCCTTCCATGTTGGCCAATGTTTCAATAGAAGTAGAAATCACCCCCAGTCTTAGAGCGTGTGTGTGTGAGGATGGTGGTGGGAGGATGGGTTCTAGTTGGTCTAACCCAGTGGTTCTCAACCAGGGGCTATTTTGCCTCTCAGGGGACATTTGGCAATGTCTGGGCACATTATTGATTATCATGACTAGGTGGGATGCTACTGGAATGGAGTAGGTGGAGGCCAGGAATACTGCTAAATATCTCACAATGCACAGGTGAGCTTTTCCAATCCTGCCCTCCAACCCCCAACAAAAATATTATCTGGCCCAAAATGTCAACAGTATTAAGGTTGAACCTGGTATAACCAATCATAGGTGTCCCACCCTACTGCCAATAGCAGGGTAGTAGTTAGGCTGGAGGGTGGGGCGGAGGGGAACTGAGAACTGAAACAAACCACAACTAACAAAGTGGACCGCTCCATGACTCATATACAGAAAAATGACACTAAATTGTGACGTATAACATGACTGATCTAAGCTTAGACCATTTAACTCATTTAGTTCATTCAGACCATGTGCTCCAAGACCACTGACTCCTTCCAAGGACATTCCTAGTTTACAAATCTGACTATCCTTGCCAAGACCATTTACGAGTAACTCCAGCCCCCAAACCCCAAGATGACCCTTCCATAACTCCAGAGCTTTGAGGAGCCTCACGGGGGCTCTGGTGCATTCCTTTGCTGTAGCAAGTTTAATAAACCTAACTTGTTATGTTTTTTATGGAGTAATAATTGCCATACAGCATTATATTAGTTTCAGCTGTACAACATAATGTTTTGATATTTGTATATATTGCAAGATGATCACAAGTCTAGTTAACATCTGTCACCATGCGTATTTTTTTCCATGTAATGAGACTAAGATCTATTCTCTTAGCAACTTTCAAATATGCAATATGGTATTGTTAACCTGTCACTATGCTGTACACTAACATATTTTTATAGATATGTTCCTGGCTGTTTTGGTTGGAGGGCTTTAATACTGGGCATGGAATACAAATAACTCTAATGTGATGAGCTAAGTCCTATAATTGGGGCATGTTCAAAGTGCTTTAGAAACAAATAAATTTTCTGCTTATGAAATCAGGGGAACAATTTTCAGAACTGATGCTTGGGAACAGGTCCTGAATGATAAATGTTTTTGGCCAAGTGGAAGTTAAGGAAAGCATTATCACAGAGAGGAAGAATAATATGGACAAAGACAGGAAGGCATAGAATTAGGAATAGCAAGCAATCGAGTCTGAAACATGCAATTCAGGGCAGGAAGGATAATCCAGATAGGCAGGAAGGGCCAGGTCATGCAGTACTGTTAAAAGTGGGCCAGATTATGCAGTACTGTTAACTGTCTCTGATGTAATAGCTATTCTGGTTGTATTCAACAGGGAATGAAATAAAATGTCCATGCCTGAATTACGACCTGGGATCCCTGCAGACTTGGATTTATAGAACTCTTCACTTCTCTCATGCTAGTCTTCATCTCTTTTCCTGTGGAGCAGTCATGTGGTATTCTAGTGCTATCTAGCACTGAGAAAGGTAAGGGCACATTTCCATCAGGAAAGCCTTCGAGTGCAATGAGGAAATTCTGAATATTTTGTTTCAAATATGCCTTTTCTAGAGATGATGCATAGTAACAGGACTTGGTTTCCTCTGCCTGTAAATTCTCTTCCCTGTTTATCTTTCAGCTCCTTCATCTGTCCAATGCTCTCACAGGATCATGTTATTTCCCTTTAATGCAATTATTACATTTAAAATTTTATATTTATTATGATCTGATTAAAGTAATCTTTCCTTTAGTTAAATTTCCATAAGTGAGCAAATTTGTCTGTGGTTTGCTCACCATCATCTTCCAGCACCTAGAAATATACCTGGCTCACTAAAATAATTAATGAATGAACTGATGATTGCTTCATGCTTTCTTAGACTTTATTTATTGTTATTTTTTCACATTATTATGGTTAATTTTATTTGTGCAAGCATTAAACCAAGCATGGGCTTTGATTCTATGGGCCCAGATTCATATATTTAGAAGGATAAACGTGTGATCCATGTACATTGATGGCAACTAAAGGCTCATGGTTAATCACATTGTAATTTTTAAATTTCCACAGCCTAAAAACCTGAAGTCACAGGTCTTTGAGGTCCTTCTGGTTGTCTCACAGGGTAGCTTCACTTTTCTTGAGTTGAGTAATCTCATCATCTTTAGTTTCTGGTTGATAACACTGGTTAATCCTCAAGCATTCAGGATACATGGAAGGCTCAGGAAGACTTCATTCTCAATGCCATACATCTCCTTCACCATAGTTGGCAAGGGACAAATCCTGGATAGATTTTTCAACATGGATTCAATGAAATCAGCCACGTTTAACCCAATAGCCCAGTTGGTGTATCCTTTTAGTTTGATGACTTCATAGGGACTTTCAATTACCATCTTATGCACATTCTTCCAATTTTCACTACCATTGTCCATTCCCATTTCTGGATTCAGTTCCTGGAGAGAAACATTTACCACATCCATTCTATTCCACACAGCCACACTTGAGTTGCCATGTTCTCCTAAAATCCATTCATGGCAACTGCTGGGATGAATGCCAAGTTTTTTAGTCATATGATAAAAAAAACCTAGCAGAATCCAGATTACATCCACTTCCAATCACAGGGTACTTGGGTAATCCACTTAGTTTCCAGGTAACATGTGAGAATGTACACTGTGTTCGGAACCACAATTATGATGCAATCAGGACTGTACTTGATCTAAGGAATAATAAATTCGAAGACATTAACATTCCTCTGTACCAGATTGAGACAATTCTCCTTCTTGCTGGTGCACTCCTGTAGTTACCACCACAATTTTAGAATTGGAGGTCACAGAGTAATCTTAATGTGCCACAATTTTAGGTGTCTGAAAGAATAAGCTCTCATGCTGCATACCCATCACTTCTCCTTTGAGTTTATCTTCTAAAACATTCACAAGAGCAAGCTCTTCAGCCAGACTTTCCCAGAATGCTGATGGAACATGCCATACCAACTTGTGCAACACCTACTACAGTGATCTTGTTGTTTGAGACTGCTGCCCCTTCTGCAACTGGTGCAGTTTTTCCTTAAGAGTTACCATTGTGCACAGGAGAGAGGCTCTCCAGACCATAGAAAGAGTCACTAGAAGAGCTTTATTTACTGTTAATGATACTTTCCATTTATACTCTGCCTTTACTTCTAAAGGTAACCTTTTGATATGTTAAACTAAAAATTTTTAACTTCCATGGCTGAAAGTCTTTTTGTAAATAAGGTTTTATAAAGCCAAAAATGCTAGCCAAAAGACGGGTCTTGAGGCATGGAATCTAAACTAGCAGCAGCATCCTAGATAGAATAGACAGCATGTCCGCAGTCCCATAGATCTGCAAGCATTTTATATATCAAGAAGGGAGAAGAAAGTCGTAGTCTGAAAGAATTTACATAAGCTATAGGCAAAGAGGTGGGGTGAAGGTAAAAAATGTCTGCTCCTATAGATTGGCTGGGGGCAGCAGTTGGGAAAGCCCTCGTGTAAACAAATGGGGCTCCTGGAGTTAAATGATGCCTGGCGAAAATAATCTGTAGAAATAGCCACCTGGAAACTAATCCAAAATTCCAACAGGAAAAACAGGAATGTAAAGTGTTTTGTTAGCTGATCAGCAGCTATTATTAACAGGCTAGCAGTTCTCTCACTTTCCTGCCGCTGTAATTTAATTTAGAACATCTCAGAATTTTTATCACTTTTATAAACTTTATCGAATGTCTGTTGTAACCATTACAGAAAGACTTAACACTCAACATCTGGCCTTACCCAAAGGGACATATTCTAACCCGTTTTTCCCTTAATTAGATTGGTTTGGAAAAAGTATAATTTTTAGGTGGGGGTTATTGCACTTCTGTGTCTCGAAGAATATGAACCCATTGTTTTTTACGCTGCCTGTAGAAACTGGGGTCTTTGTCATTTAATAAGTAGCGCCAGCCTCTCTGCCAACACAAATTACCAACACCTCAGACCAGCACTGTCTAGGTGCACAAGGAGAATTGTCGATCACCATCAGAAACGAAATGAAATGACAGAAGGAAGCGCAGGCACTGTGCTGGGCCGCGCGCGTTCCAGGATCCAGAGGCCGGCGCTGGCCAAGGCTCTCACTTGGGTCCGGCTTCCAAGACCCGGGTCCGGCTGGGGGAAACTTGACGTTCCACACTCTCGAATTTGCCTGACAACTCGCTGAGAGACGTTCAGGAAGCAGCTGGACTAGCGACCGGAAGGGGCGGATCCAGACACGTCACTTTTGCGCGCGGCTGAGAAAGGGGTGGTGCGAGGCGCGGGGCGGGTCGCGGCGGCCTTCGGGACCACACTAGTCTGTCTAGGTGCAGCTCCTGCAGCCGGTTGTGGCAGTCGCAGCATGAGTGAGGCGGGCGGACTGCGGCATCTCCGGCCCTCGCGGCCACAGGTCATCACAGACGATGGCCAGACCCCTGAGGCAAAGGACCAGAGATAGGCTGGGCTCCTAGACCTGGTCCGCGAGCTGCTGAGTCTACTCCCAAGAACGATGATGGCAGTTACAGCAGCAGGGTCAGTTTGATGCCAACCTTGGGCTTACACCGTGTCATTTAATATCCTCGGCAAAACTCGTTTTATGGGGAAGAAACAGGCTCTGATCAAGCGGATGCACCTGCCGGGTCCTGGAGACTTTCGTCGCACTGTGCGCCCTATCGCGGCGTTATCTCCGGCTTTCTGTCCCAAGACCACGTAAAGCCACACCTGCCCCTCCTGCCCCTCCTGCCCCTCACTCCCGCCCCAGCTTCCAGAGCGATGGCTTCCTCGCCTTTCCTCCGCTCCCCGTTCCCTTCCGTGCTGTCCTTCCCGCTGGCTCACCTGATTCCCGGGGACAGCTTACCTAGCCACGGCCCGAGTCTTCCTGGCTCCACGCTTTCACTATCCTGAAGGGAGGTCTGAAAAAATGTTCGGGTCGCGCCTCGTGATCCTTGAAGGACAGCTATACTATAGCAGGAGCGTTTTTGCTCTAAAATGCGATTTACAGAGAAGACTTTTTGGTAATATCTGACTCCTGGGGTCAGTGGAAAGGTCAGGAATATGATATAGTCCTGACTGTAGGATGACCAACCATCCTGATTTGACCTGGACTCAGAGGCTTCCAAGGATGCAGGACTTTGAATGCTGACCTTTGCAGAGAGGGACAAGTTGGTTGCTTGATTGACTGTGGATATTGTGAAATCATCTTCTGCTGATGACTGAAGAGCTTTTTAGAAGGGATTTGCAAGGACTGGCAATGCTTTACTACAGAAATCATTAAAACAAGGTATTGCTGTGTACACTTTTACATGAAAAATGAAAACAGCTTGGCCTTGAGTTTGTCATGAGGTGCAGTGTGTTGGAAACCAAGGTATACAGCATCTGAGGTCACTTGTTGGATGGGTCCAACTCTCAGCTGGATTCCTCTGACACTCTTGGCCCTGGGGCACGGGGGCAGAGTTAAATCGTTTTTCAATTTCTCTGTGGGGATTTCTGACTTAATGGCAGGGTAAATTGGATGTTCCAAAGTCATCATCTGCTGCTTGTTTTTTTACAGTGCGCCTTTTACATTGTGTTCATTTAAGATAGTTTCTTGACTTCTTGTCGAACATTGTTCTTATTTTTTCTGTTTTTCTCTTTCTCTTACTTGTTTGATCCCTTTTCTATATATATGTAATGGTCTCTTTCATAGTGAGTTCTTATCACCCACCTTCCTTTCTGCATTTATTATCATAATGCTATGTTTTGTTTTTTTTTTTTAATTATTTGTCTCGTGATTTTCCTCTATATTTCGTTTCTTTTGTGGTCATTTTTAGTAGTTCATCTTATTGTCTTCTTGATTACCTTAGAAGTTGAAGGTTCACCACAAGAAATGAAAGTATTGTGTATAGTGATTGAAGTAAGGGAATCTGAAGCAAGTAGAAACCTGACAATCACAGGATAAACTTTAGATGTGCTAAACAGAATAAAAGCCTTGAAAGATACTTTATTCAATTAACAGAAGTAAGAAAATAGATTTTAGTGGAAGGGACACCTAGCAATACCTTGACTTTCTTCTGACTCTTGGCGTGAAGGTGGTGTTAGCTGTTTCATGGATGAGGTTGTTGAGGTCTGTGTGAGTGATGTAGTTTATATAAAGTTACAGAATATTGAAGTCAAAGAGAAATGAAAATGAGTAAAGGAGGATAGAATTGGCAGCTGGACAATGGTTGAGAAGCATATTTTTAAAATTATGCTTTGGAAATAGATTTTATGCCAAAGTTCTTAAATTTCTGTGTTCTAGCTATAATGGAGAATGCAGGCATTAAATCTTTTTATTCGGTGCAGAACATAGATGAGCTAAGCACTTTAACATACCAGTACAAGCTTGTAGTTAGTATTATTTGACATCAGTTTCCCCAGATGCTTTAGAAACTTTATTGTCAGAATGATTGTAACTCTGAAACTGTTCCTTCCCTTGTGAAACATAGTTCTGTCTGGGAAGAGAGAATAGCTGTTTAATGTCCACACATAACTCTTTAGGACTGAAGAGTGAATACACTGAAAATTTAACAGCTGCTTTTTCAATAGTTTTTTTCTAAAGGATTTTAGACTAATTAAAATTCTCTACTAGGTCAATTTTCCTTTTTCCTTTTTAAGACTGAAGAGTAGGGGGTGCAGTGTAGAGAGACAGATTGGGCTATCATAAATTCATGAAGTCATGAGGAGTTAGGAATCTTAGCTCTTTCCCCCAGGTGTGTGGTTTCGAGTGGCTCTTTTAACTTCTTAGTTATTTTCAGTGCTAAAATAAAGAATTCTATAGTCTAAGAGCCCCAGTATAAACGAATGTGAAAGATGAACAATTTCAAGGTGCTTCACTTAAAAAGACTGTTTGACTCTATTGTTTGATTTTCTCAATTTTCAGGGATTACCTTGACACCTGGGGTTCTGGTCCTTGTGGATTTGGGGCTTATAGATTTTCTACAAGAATCACAGGTCGTTTTTGCTCTCACAGGGTCTGTTGGTCAGGACTTTAGACCATGACTTGAGGCTCTGATGTCCTGGTACAGAAGGGGTTAGAGAACCCCCATCATATTTGGCTGGTGAAAGAACAGGATTTTGTAAATCGTGACTGAGTCAACAGTAATGGTTAAATCCTGTTGCATCAGAGTAACGTCTCTTGTCCTTGGAGATGTAGGAAATTTTAGGATTCAGATGACCTCAAGGAGGTGAGCTGATCACCTGGGCCTCTTCCAAGAGATTAGGGCAAACAAGTTGATTTCTCAGACTGTACCTAGGAAGTAAGTTGACAGCTTTCCTGAATGTGTCAGCACAGATTAAGAAGGAGAGTATGATGTGATGGGCTTTGTAATTGAAAATGGATAGGGATAAATGTAGTGTCCTTTATAATGCAGGTATACAGAGGCAAAGGGCACACATGGAGGAAAGGCAGAATTGTAATTGTGAGTTTGCAGGAACCAGCAGTGAGATAGGCCTGCCAAAAAGTTAATGAACCTTGGGCTAAAGTAAGTTTGTATGGGTACAGAACACCCCACCCCCACCCCAGGGACTCTACAACAGACAATCAGGGACTCAGATGCCTCCAGGGAGCTGCAGTCCTGCTACCTACCATTTACTGAAAATTTTGTATTCCAGCACCTGGTTTTGGTGTCAGTCCCATTGGTTTTTGTACCAGCCTGATGTGGTACTGTCTGCAGCAAGCGTGGGGCTGGGAAAAGGAAAGTGCATGCATGTCTGAAGAGTGAAAATACTTGTGCGGCTGCCCTGCAATTTGAGTTTTATAGGCACAGATTTGCTACTTTAAAGAGAAGCTGGAAACTCAGATTTTTCTGTGAAATTTCCTTATTTTTCAGTTTTGGCAACTAACCCCATTTTGTGGAGTGACAGTTTATGGTTTAGACTAGAACTTTGCTTTGATTTGTGGGCACCACGTTTTATGGGGGACTTTGAGAAATAGGAAAACAACCAGGAAAGAGAATGTTCTACAAGCTCTACCATCTGCAGTACTCCCACAGGACTGACTGGGAATTCGTTGCCTGGAGAGGAAAGAACTGAGGGTGGTGTGACCTCAGGCATCAATTCTAGGGAGGGCTGTCTGGGAGGGCAAGGATTTGCTGCACCTGAGGGCAGAACTGTACCTAGTCGATGTGAGCCAGGGGAAAGCGTGTTTCTTAGAACATGTTGCATGAGATGACCTGAGCAGCCAAGATCCTTGCGTAAAAGATTAGGGAAATGCTCTGTATTGCTGGCAGGCACTTCCCTGGTCTTCAGGGCTCTGTGGGATCTGCCCTGGCAGTGTGCCTGACCTGTTTAAGCAGCTTTCACTCACTCATTCTGTCTCAGGCTCTCTGCTATGGTCATTCTGCCTCTGTAATCAAGGCATGGGAATGGGGACTTTTAATTCTTTTATGCATGTATGCTTTACTCATATGCCAAGAATTTGTTGAGTTCTACTGTGTTTCCTCTGCCTGTGTTGCTCTGCCACAGATATTTGATTTCACCCAGCTTCACTGAATATCTCTATTCAGAGATTATTTGCTTTGACCCCTGTGTGTGATCACAGCCCTCTGCATCACTGTAGTGCCCCCTGACCCTGCTGTATTGTTCTTCATTGTTCTTCCACTGTCTGGCATTTGCTTATTTATACTAGAATACAAAGAGGGCAGGACACTTTATTTTACTTATGGCTATTTTCTCAGGGCCTTACATAGTACCTGGCACATGTATATAGGTGATTATTAAATGCTTACAAGTGAAAAAATAGTAAATAAGGCTGCTGCCTGATGTCATAGCCACTTGGCCATATTCAGCTGTTTAAGTTTAAATTAATTAAAATGAACTAAAATTAAAAATTCAGTTTCTCATTTGTGCTCTGTTAGGGAGCTTGAGGGATTTGGGGGCTGATCAAGGAAAAAGATATGACTATGAGGTAGCAGCAGCACATATGAGCTTTCTTAGGTGACATTGACAGGATTGCACATGGGGAACATCTCACAGCGGAAGTGGGCCACAATCCTAAGGGGAGGAGGGCCAAAGAACTCCGAAGGAGAGGGGAAATGAAGAGAGGGCTCCCTGGTCAAGGTGAGTCTCTGGATGAGAGAGAGTTCCAAGGGCAGCAGTGGCTGGGGCAAGGCCCTCTTATCAATGAGCAACAGCTGTCAGGTGTGTTTTCACAGATTATGCAAAGCAGGCAAACTCTAAATCGCTAAATATTTGCTTGTTTGGGCTATTTTAAAAAATAATTGAATATGTAAAAGTTGGAGTTTGGCACTGGTGGGCCTTTTGAGCTAATGGTTCTCACAGCCTGCAATGAAGAAATAAACAACCTAGGGGCTGATTGACAGAGGTGGTCTTTGGCTCATTTATGTAACATGCTAGTCTCATTTCAAGTGCTCAGTAGCCACACGTGGATAGTGGCTGCTCTATTTCTGTCATCACAGAAAGTTCCATTGGACTACTCAAGGAGTTTAAGGTGCTATTTGTAAAATGTGAGCACAGAACTTTCCAATAGAGGCTAGCTGATGATCACCAGGAGGATGTTGATAGACTTCTTTAACTGGGAAGGGAATTAGATAAGGTTGGTCATGTCCAGCTGCACATCAGGAACAACAGAAGCATACTAAAAAAAAAAAAGGTTTTCTAGGCCCCTGCTGGACCTGCCATTCTGAATCTCTGGGCCTTGTTTAAAGCCACCCTGATGATTTGGTATAGGTGATCCAGGGGCTGGCCAGTCTTATGGGCACCGGACTGGGTGGCCTCTAAATTCTTCAGCTTTTATAGTTTGTGATTGTAAGAGGGCGTTAGTTAGGTCTTCAGCAGGGATAGGCCATGTGGGACACAGGTCATCATCTTGGACTTCTGGCTGCCTTTCTAGTTATTAGCACTGATGCTTTCAGTTCTGGCTGGACTTTTTTTTTTTGGAGATAAGTGAGCCTTTTACCATTGTGTGAAGGGGCAGCCAGATATTCAAGTAGGATGTCACAAGCTCTGAATCAGATTAGTAAATTTAGATTAAAAAGATGTAAGTTACAGTGTGGTAAAGGAGAGTTAACAATATAGGAGTCTAAGACAAATGAGAAGATTCTGTTTTACGTAGAATCATGTTAGGTAAGAAAAAGGTAAAGTAGCACTTTGGCCAGAGTGTCACCATTTTGTTAATGACAGCCCTATAGTGACAGATTGCACAGTGGAGCTTCTCCCAAGGGACTGCTTCTCTGCCTTGGTGGGGAGGGGTGATTGTATCAGCTTCCTTCAAGGAAAGGGACTCCTCTCTCTGTTAGACCCTACCAGAATGCCAGAGTGGTCAGCACTCACCACTGACAGCCACACATCTTGACCATTTGTCTCTCTTCAAGGTTCTGCTTTTGAAAGAACCACATGATCAAAGTCATTGCTGCCACTTGTAAACAGCCCTGCCTTACTGTACAGATACTTTGTTATTTCCATTATGTTGAAAAACTAAGCCACTTAAAGAAAATCACTTGAGTTACAGTGTCCCAGCCTCTGGAGTGGCAGTTTGCATAGTTGAGTCATTGACTTTTTTTTAAAAAAGTATCTTTGAGATATAATTCACATACTATAAAATCCACCCACTTAAAATGTTCAATTCAGTGGTCTTTAGTATACTCATAGAGTTTTGCAACAATCACCACATTTTCATCACTGTTAATTTTTTTCTTAAATTGAGGTGAAATTTAAAATAACAAAATTATCCTTCTTAGAGTGTGTAAGTTAAGTGTTATTAGTGTTGGACAATCACCAGCTCCCTAGTTTCAAAACTTTTTCATCACCCCATGAAACACCTTATGTGCATTAAGTAATCACTCCTCATTTCCCCCTCCCACCCACATGTCCATCAGCAGATAAGTGGCTAAACCAATTGTGGTCTGTATTTAGCAATGGAATATTATTGAGCCATAAAAAGGAATGAAGTCCTGATATATACTGCAACTTGGGTAAATCTCGAAACATTATTCTGAGCAAAAGAAGCCACTTGCAGAAGTATTGTTTGATCTCATTTATATGAAATGTCCAGAATAGCTATGCAAACCACCATTAAATTTGGTAATGAGTCGGACTCTGACTTTGAGGGCTCTAGGTCCCGGTATCCTCTCCCTGTCTTCTTGACTCTGGCAGGCAGTATTGCTAATGGTGATCACAGGCTTAGAGTCAGACCTGGCACTTGTTTGTACTCTTCCATTGGGCTATGGGCAAGTCACTTGTGCTTTCTCTGTCCACTTCCCTTGTTTGTAAAGCAAAGAGATACATAGTTCTGCTTGGTTACCCATGTAAATAAAGCACATTACATGGCACATTGTTGTCACTGTTTTTATCATTACTCTCGTCATGGCCCTTACTCTTTTACTGCTGTAGACCTTTTAGGTTGTATTAACCTTCTATCTTGTGGATTAATAGCTGATCTGTGCCAGAGATGCATTTTTATCCACTGTGTTCTTATACACCTGATGAGCATCAATTAGTCACCTTAGAAGAAGGTTGTGTGGCCCTGGGGTTTGAAGATAGGGCTGGGAGGGAGGGGTTGGCCTGATTTTTCTTTTCCTTTCCTCTTCCAGGACCCTGGGCTCTCTCGGCTTCTTCTGACAGGATCTGTGGGACTGGACCACCTTCTTTCCCAGCTAGCAAAGGAGGTAAAGACTAACAACTTGGCATTTTACCTGGCGAGGGGTGAGTTTTAAACCTCATGTGAGTGAAGAGAAGGAAGTTAGGAACAAAATTCATTCTTTTAGGTTATTAGAATTCTCATTGGCAAAGGGAAAATGACAAAAGTATAAAAGAACTGGTTAGCATTGTCCCCTATGCTGTCCTGCTCTAGAGGAGAAGGTAGCAAGAAGAAATGAAGCCACACTCTCAACTCTACTTGGAAATGTTCTCAGCTAAAATGTCCTAGTTCATCAGTTACAAGTTCTGCTTTCCACATCAGTGCAAGGAACAATTCAGCCAAGCTTTCTGCCACCATATAACAAGGATCTACTTTCTTTGTTATAATAACTTGTTCCTGACATCATTCTGAGCCTTCACCAGCAGTGCCTTCAATGTCCATATTTCTGCTAACAGTCTGTTCCTGACAGTTTAGATATTCTCTAAGATGATATATGCTTTCTCTACCGTGCTTCTTACTTCCTTCTGAGCTCTTGCTACCAGAGTCTCTTTAAAGTCATATTTCTTCTATAGTCTGTTCAAAGAAATATAGGCTTTCTCTATCTTCCTCCTCAAAATTCCTGTATCCACAGCCTGATTCCAAAGCTACTTCCATGTTTTCATGTGTTTGTTACAGCAGCGTCCCACTTTTATTATTAAACTAATAAAACTAGTTTAATTAGAAAAACGTATTTAGTTTTCTATGGCTGCCATGACAAATGACCACACACTTAGCGGCTTAAACAACACAGATTGATTATCTTATAGTTCTGGAGGTCAGAAGTCCTGGACAGGTTAGTGTGCTGAAATCAAGGTGTCACAGGGCAGTGTTCCTTTCTACTTTCTAGAGGCTCTAGGGGAGAACCTGTTTTCTGCCCACACAGTTTGTTGGCAGAATTCAAACACTCTTTAGTTGTGCTGTCTTAAATGTCTAAAGGATGACATTCTATGAAAGCCTCTCCCTCTCCCTTCCTTTGCATGTCTTTCTCTTTGCCTTTCATTTCCACCTACCCCTATAGAAACAGAATGATTTATTTTGTTTTCTGTTTTATTTAATAAAATCATGCATATTCAGAACTGGGCAGGACTTTGAGATTCTCTGCCCCACACTACATTTCACAGAAGGGAGTTTTGGGCTTTGGGTGAAGAAACTCACCTGCAGTGGCTTGGCTGGTTATTGGGAGGTTAGGACTGGTACCCAGGCCCCCATATTTCTACCTGGAACAGTTTTATGCAGCAGAAGACTATCCTGTCAAAATTATACAAAACACTACCCTTAAATTAGTTTTGTTAAGTGTAAGTCTTGATTTTTTTCTTTAATTCACCTTTTTTCCCCCTCATGTATAGAAAAAGATGATCTCCATCTTAGGAGATCATGATTTTATTTACTTTGAGTTAATCTTTATGTCAAGTGCTTAGTAAATTTGAATGCACTTAATGTAAGCGACTCATGATCTTGTAAAGTTTATTTAGTAGCAAGAGGCTAAGTGTGCTAACTTGTTTACCAGATGAGAATGATGTATATGAGAATCGTTTGAGAGAGATTTTTAGTCACTGTTGGTCATTTGTCCAAAATCTTAATGCAAGATTCCCAAGGTAGCTTTCAGATCTTCCTAAGGCTTTAGTAGAGATGACTTGAAATTGTAATTTTATAGATTCTTCGTAAATAACTGTCAGTATTTGTCAGACTATTCCAGGTGGAAGAGCAGGGATTACCTTTGAGTTCTTAACGGTATGGTCTGCAAATGCCTGGGGAATTAGATGCTCAGGAAGTTGTTCTGCTTCCATCTCTTCACGAATTTGACTCTGTTGTTTATCCATAAAACCTGAGAAACTTCTTTGAATACATGTGCCAGGAAATAGTAGCTTTTGGGAAACACCTGTCTACCAAGTAGATGAGTGTCTCCTTTCCCTTATTGCAACTGTTTACTCCATTACGTTTTGTGTTTTTTCTCTTTAAAAATGTTAGAGGGTTCAAGATACAGCCTATCATGCTCTCTGGAAAATTACTGTTAAGAGTGCTCCACACAGCTGGAAGGTTAAAAAAAAAAAAAAAAAAAGCATGTTTGCCAATGCTTGCAAACAGTGCTAAAGTTTAATCGCAAGCCATAGAGGTTGGCAGCCTTGTAGTGGGCAAACTGGGTGAGAGGCCTGCTCCTACTAAAAGAGCTTTAGGACCAGCCGAGCTTGTCACCATCTGAGCCTCTGCTAATTGCCTTTGTATGTTTTATTTTTGGTAGCTCCTTTACTGGTAGAGTTTTCCGAGTGACATTCTTGATGCTAGCTGTCTCCCTTGCTGTTTCCCTGCTTGTAGCCATAATGCTGCTGGATTCTCTCATAGATCCACAGCCTGTCAGGTGAGCTGCCCCAGCAATTCTCGGGAGGTGTTACCCAGCAAAATATAATAGGCTGGGATGGTTTCTAGAGTAATTAAACCAATCTGGTCTGAAAGGTAAGTTATTATGAGAAATAGAGATGTGAGATTTCATTGGTGCCTGCATTTTATGTTGAATTAGATGTTCCACAGAATATATACATGGTATTGCCCATGTTTTTGTTTCAAAAACAAAGCTGTGTAAACCAAAAACAAAAATCAGAAAAATCCCAAATAAGAGAAGCTTCAGTATTAGACACAATTGACCTGAATTCATATGAAGTGGCAAAAGCAGATACAAACGAAGGTTAAGTTTAAGTTACCTGGTTTAAATTTTATAAGTAACTGATTTTTAAAAAACTTGTAATTAGTGTTCTCTTTTTCCAAAGTTACCATTCATCAGTGGGGACCTTTGAGTAATGCCATTCATTATAACTTGAAAAAATAGTGTACAATTAGGAGGTCCATGAAATGTATTCACATTTTTAATTATAGTGATGCAGAGCCAGGTTCTTATAGGTATGATTTCTGACATTGATGTCGAGGTGGTGTAAGTGGATTGCACAAGCTGGTTCAGTAAGTTCCTGTTTTTCCTTGCAACCGCCCAGAGGGGTGAGCTGTCTGAAGTTTATGTGAGTCCATGTAAGGTTTTAGAAACTTCAGAAAGAACCATTCATTAATTCATTATAGAGTGAATATAATATATACAACTGTACAATGTGTTGGTGTTTTGTAAATAAAATTAAGGTTTTAGATTGGGTTCAGTTCACTAAAAATGCATTCAGCACCTAGTATGCTTGAGGCAGGTATCCAATTAGATACAAAGAGGACACAGTTCTGATCTTAGATTGACATATGTTAGAAGAGTCAACTTTTTGCTGTTGGATTTAGAATTAGTAAAGGTACAAGGTGTTGTTAAAACACAATTAGCTTGCATAAGATTGAGAATGGGCCAAGGCCTGGACACTCTAGACCCTTCCAGAGTGGATTTTTATACAGTGGTTTTAGTTCTAGGGAGCAAAGTCACCTGGAAGGTTGTGGGGCCTTGCCCAAAATCGGCCATCTAAAGCCACCTTCTTTTCCTTTTTGGAAGATTGGAGGACTGTTATAACAAAAGTGACATCCTGATTTCTGGAGGATGTTGACCAATATCTTTCAGAATACATTTAGCAGGAATTAATGTGAGTTTACAGGAGTTAATAAGAGTTAACAGAAGCTTGCTGGCTTTAACCAGAGACCATGTGGCCTGGCTGACCATGAGTGCTGATTTGGGTTTCCTGAGGTCACTGTTGCTTGGTGCTTTTGCCACCCTGCTGCAGGAGTGGGGGCCCTTCTTGCCAGTCCTTTGTATTTTCTCAGATAAGTTTTTTCTTGTCTTCCTATTGAGATAATACTCAGGCTCCTTTTGGGTAGGGATAGTGTAGGATATACTAATTGGTTTGATTCTACAAATATTTCCTAGGGATGTCCTGTGTGTAGAGAAAAAGGCAAGGTCCAAGGACTGGATGAGAAGGGCTGGCTGAGTGTCAGGTATACTGTCCTCTATCCTTGGACTTTCTATGCTTGTCTGTGTTCTTCAGTCTTCACATGTACCTTGGGAAGTGCAACCTTTAAGAATTTGAACCCAGGTGTGTTCAACTATATAGCGCAGGCTTTTTATTTCATGAAAGCATGCAAGTTGCAGTTCTGTTCTTCCTTTGGAAATAAAACTCCTAGTTAAACCAAGAGTGTTTTTATTAAATAGGTAGAAAGCCAGAATTGGGAGCCTGGCAGAGAGTGAAGGAGGGGCAGTTTAATTTGAGGGAAGTTGTGCTGTGTCCTGCAGAGGTGCCCACTCATAGCTGGTGGCAAGGGTGAAGTGCTTTGCCAGCAAGACAGAGCTTTTCTGTCATTCCACATCATCAGCCCACCCTTTTCCCTTAGTTCTCCCACTCTGGTGGGCTGGCTAGGAAACTGCCTTGCTGTAGGGCAAATGGAAGGGGAATTGGGAGATAAACCCCCCTTCCCATAATCCTCACTCCCACCTCTTCTACAGTCTTCTTTGGGAGCCTCATGTATGCCAGGTGCTTGCAGCAAAAAACGTGGAATAATTTCCTGATCTCATGTGCTCTATTGGGGATAGACAGACAATAAAATAACAGAAGTGAGAAGCTGAAAAGGGCTAATAGAATGAATCAAGTAGAGTGGTGGGGGAGACTGGGCTTTTGGGGAAGGTATTGAATATTGTATTGGGTGGTCAGAGCAAGCCTCACTGAGAAGGTGAGGGTAGAGGGAACAGTCAGTGCAAAGGACTTAAGGTAGGAGATTGCTGGTATAGTCAGGAACCAGTAGGGAGGGGCTGGCATGGAGGACAGAATGAACTACTGGGAGAGGAGGTGAGAGAGGTGACAGGCCAGATGGTATAGGGCTAAGAGCCACTGCAAGGACTTACACTCTGGGTGAGGTAGGGCTGTCGCAGGGCATTGAGCAGACAAATACTGTGATCTAACTGCAGGGCTCCTGTGGACTGCTGGGTTGACAATAGACTGTAGGGGACAAGGGAGGAAGCAGGGGAGAGATGGTGGCCTGGACTAGGGTGGTAGCAGAGGACATGGAGTGAAGGGGTTCAATGATGTCTTTCTTTTGGCAGTGGCATCAGCATGATTTGCTGGGGGATTAGGAGAAATAGCATATTTGCATGTGGATGGGAAGGACCTGAGGAGAGAGAAGAGTTCCTGGAGCCCAGTCTGTGTGAAAGGAGAGATCCAGGGGCCAGTGGAGTCCAGCTTTAGAGAGGAGCCAAGTGGGTCCTGAGAGTGTGCCTGTGCTGGACAATGGGGCAGTGGTTCCAGTCCCAGGATAGCTCCCTATTGTGTGTTATGTCTTCTTCACGAAGCAAGAAGCAAGGCTGTCAGCTGTGAAATGTCAACATGGCTCCCCTCCAGCTCTGTTGAACTTTCATGAGAGGGCAACCATTGGGACTATAAATGCCAGGGTGTGTGATCAGAGGGTGTGAGGAAGTCTAGCCAGCTGTTAGGCATTGGACCAATAATGAGAAGCTCAGGTGGGTGGAAACCCTGGAGTGTTCTCAGGCAGCAGATGTTTGCCAAAGTTATTGTATTAGCCATGTTTATATTTTCACTTTTATTTAGTACTATGACTTTCTGATATCCTAGGACAGTTTTTTTCTTAATCTTTGTATTTCTGGCAAATAAAGATATTATTGGAATGAAACTTGTTTATCAAACTCAATTGTGTATGTCATAGATCCTTAGTAAACATTTTCTTCATATATTTCCTATAAACAAATTCCTATAATTGTATTATTTTACAGCTTTAAAGAACGCCCTCTTTTGCTTGGTGTTCTCAACCAAATACGAAGTTACAACAAGTGGAAAGGCTATTTGAAAATCAACTCATTGGGCCAGAATCCATAGCAAATATTGAGGGTAAGTAGACCTTGGAACTTAAGAGTCTGGGGTGACTTCGGGACTGTCTGTTGCTTGAAGTGGGGATTCTGTAGGAGCAGCCACAATGGCACCCTGCCCTTGGGGGAAACCTTAGCGGCAGATGTGGGATGTGCATATGCTTATTGAGCAGACACCCCTTGGGAGCATCTCGGCTCTCCCAGTTGTGGGCCATTTTAGTACTGGGTGATTTTGAGTTCATGTCTATGGAGCACTTTATTCTGTTCAAAGTGTTGGACTCATTATGTTTAGTTCATTTATCAAAGTTAGCAGGTATTACTTGATCATTGTTTCTTAGCTCAGTTTATCTTTGTATACATTTCGTTTTTGAAAAGAATATGAATGATTCTCAATATTTCCATTTTTTTTTAAAGTTCACAATGGTGGGTATATTTAAGGTTAGCTATCTTCTTCAGGCTTGCCCAAACCTAAGAACTAGAATTGGGTTTGGTTCTAATACTTGAGTCTCTAACCACCCGAAACAAGGCATTTTCTGTCAGTGAGAATTAAGCTTAGGAATCAAAAAATAAAATTAATGAAAAGGTTGCTGAACTTAAAATGGTGTGAGGATTTCTGAACAGCTTAACTGGCACTCTGCTCCTCATTCCTTAGTACAATGTGTTTTCCGTGGAGTAGTTGTGAACCCTTGCATCTGGGGTGCTCCTCTGTTTTGTTTTGAAGGCAGGTCAGGGCTTCTCCTGTGGTGATGTTGACCAGCTTGGCTTTCCCAGGCCTGCTGTTTAATGTGGGACCCAAAGACTGGTGCATTTCTGCAGTTGTTTGTTTGGCTGGCAAAGTCAAAATTACTTCCAGAAGTATATAGGTGCTTCATGATAGAACTTTGTATTTCTTCTAAAAAGACATTGACATTTATTATTGATAAATTTTACAAATTTTATGGGATTTTTTTGGTGAAAAATTAAATATTGATATTTAAAACAAACTTCGAGGAATTAAAGTGATTTTTTAAAAACTTTCAAAGAGAATGTTTTTCTTGTCTTTTTCCTTTCCACTTGGGCTAACATCTCCTTTTATTGTGTCACCAGATAAAGGAGCTGGTTATCTTCTTCTTCTTTTTTTTTAAATTAATTTATTTATTTTAAATAGTTTCAAGTATTAGTACATTGGTTAGACATCTATATAGTTCATAAAACAATCCCCGCAACTGCTCCCTCCCTCGGCCCTACATCTAGCCATTACCTTAATGCTAACTGCATTCCCTATGCCACGCTCCCCATCCCCATGACCATCTATCAACTACTAATTTGTACTTTTTTAACCCTTCACCCTATTCTCTCAGCCCCCCAAAACCCCTCCACTCTGTCCATCACCAAATTGTCCACTATATTTGTGAGTCTGTTTTAGATTAGTTTGTTCGTTTTGTTCCTTAGATTATGCATATAAGTGAAATCATAGAATATTTATCTTTGTCTGACTTATTTCACTCAGCGTAAGAACCTCTAGGTCCATCCATGTCATTGCAAATGGTAGAATTTTATTTTTTTTTAGTGGCTGTATGAATATTGGGGTGCATAGATCTTTACGAATTATTGTTTTGGTTTTCCTTGGGTATATATCCAGAAGTGCAATTGCCAGGTCAAAAGGTAGATCCATTTTTAATTTTTTGAGAAACCACCAGATTGTTTTACACAGTGGCTGTATCAATTTGCAATCCCACCAACAATGTATAAGGGTTCCCTTTTCTCTGCATCCTCACCAACACTTGTATTTTGATTTATTGATAATAGCCATTCTGACAGGTATGAGGTGATATCTCATTGTGGTTTTAATTTGCATTTCTCTTAATGATTAGTGACTGTGAGCATCTTTTCATATGTCTATTAGCCATCTGTATTTCCTCTTTGAAGAAGTATCTATTCATATCTTTTGCCCATTTTTTAATTGGATTGTTTGTTTTTTGTTGAGTTGAATGAGTTCTTTATATATTTTTGATATTAACCCCTTATCAGATGTATCATTTGTGAATATTTTCTCCCAATCAGTCTTTTTGGTTTGTTGATGGTTTCCTTTGCTGTGCAAAAACTTTTTAGTTTGATGTAGTCCCATTTGTTTATTTTTTCTTTTGTTTCCCTTGCCTGGCAGATATAGCCAGAAAGAAATTCCTGTTAGTAATATCAGAGAGTTTACTGCCTATGTTTTCTTCTAGAATTTTTATCGTTTCTTGTCTTACATTTAAGTCTTTAATCCATTTTGAGTCTGTTCTTGTATACAATGTAAGAAGGTTGTCTAGCTTCTTTTTTTTTTTGCATATATATGTCCAATTTTCCCAACACCATTTATTGAAAACTTTCTTTACCCCATTGTATATTCTTACCTCCTTTGTCATATATTAAGTGAGTGTATAAGTGTGGATTTATTTCTAGGTCCTCTATTCTGTTCCATTGATCAATGTATCTGTTTTTATGCCGGTACTATGCTGTTTTGATTACTATAGACTTATAGTATAGTTTGATATCAGGTAGTGTGATACCTCTAACTTTGTTCTTCTTTCTCAAGATTGCCATGGCTATTTGGAGTCTTTTATAGTTCCATATAAATTTTAGGATTATTTGTTCTATCTCTTTGAAAAATGTCATTAGCATTTTGATAGGGATTGCATTGAATCTATAGATTGCTTTGGGTAGTACGGCCATTTTAATGATGTTGTTTCTTCCTACTCATGAGTACGGTATATGCTTCCATTTATTTGTATCTTCTTCAATTTCTTTTTTTCAATGAGTTATAATTTTCTGAGAACAGGTCTTTTACTTGCTTGGTTAATTTGATTCGCAGGTATTTTATAGTTTTTGATGCAATTGTAAATGAGATTGTTTTCTTAATTTCTCTTTCTGCAAGTTCATCATTGGTGTATAAAAGCTGGTTATATTCTTGATGACATTTCTCGTTAGACACACAGTCAGGACCTAGCTAGTTAGCTTCTGCAGGTGTTGCCTCATTTGGAAGTTGTCATTTGGATGGCCAGCATGTTGCTAACAGTAGAGGGAGGCACCAGGTACTCGAGTAATCAATTAACAGGCTTTAATTTATTTAAAAATAGACTTTATTTTTTAGAGCATTTTTAGGTTCACAGCAAAATTACGGGGGAGGTACAGAGATTTCCCATATACCCCCTATCTCCACATATGCACAGCCTCCTGCCAGCATCCCACACCAGACAGTACATTTGTTTCAACTGAGATGTCATCATCACCCAAATTCCATAGTTTATATTGGGGTTCACTAATGGTGTTTTACATTCTATGGGTTTGAACAAATGTATAATGAAATGCGTCCATTGTTTTAGTATCATGCTGAGCAGTTTCACTGTCCTAACAATTCTCTGTGTGCTGCCTATTTATCCCTTTCTCCCCTCAACCCTTGGCAACCACTAATCTTTTTACTGCTTCCGTAGTTTTGCCTTTTCCAGAATTTTATATAGTTGGAATCATACAGCATGTAGCCTTTTCAAATTGGCTTCTTTTCCTTAGTAATACGCCTTTAAGGTTTCTCCATGTCTTTTCATGCCTTCATAGCTCTTCCCTTTTTATTCCTGAATAATAGTCCATTGTCTGGATGTACTACAGTTTATCTGTTCACTGATTGAAGGACATCTTGGTTGTTTTCAAGTTTTGGCAATAATTAATAAAGCTGTTATAAATAGTCACACACAGATTTTTGTATGGACATGTTTTCAACTCATTTGGGCAAATACCAAGGAGAACAATTTGCTGGATCTTATGGTAGGAGTATATTTCTTTTTGTAAGAAACGACCAAACTCTCTTCTAAAATGGCTGTATAATTTTACGTTCACACCAGCAATAGATGAGAGTTCCTATTGCTCTACATTCTCACCAGCATTTGGTGTTGTCAATGTTCCAGATTTTGGCCATTCTAAAAGGCGTGTAGTGGTTTCTCATTGTTTTAATTTGTAGTTCCTTAATGGTATATGACGTTGAATATCTTTTCATATGCTTATTTCTTCTTTGATGAAGTATCTATTTAAGTCTTGTGGCCCTTTTAAAAATCAGACTGTTCATTTTTTTATTGTTGAGTTTTAAGAGTTCTTTGCATATTATAGGTAACAGTCCTTTATCAGATGTGTTTTCTGCAAATATTTTCTTCCTGTCTGAGGCTTGTCTTCTTATTCTTTTGACAGTGTCTTTATAGAGCAGAAGTTTTTAATTTTAATGAAGTCCAGCTTATCAGTTCTTTTTTCGTGGATTGTACCTTTACAATTGTATCTAAAACATCATTACCACACCCAAGGTCAAATAGTTATCTCCTGTGTTATCTCTGGGAGTTCTATAGTTTTTCATTTTACATTTAAGTCTGTGATTCATTTTGAGTTAATTTTTGTGAAGGGTGTAAGGTCTGTGTCTAGATTCATTTTTTCTTTTTGCATGTGGGTGTTCAGTTTTTCTAGCACTATTTGCAGAAAAGACTATCTTTGCTCTATTGTATTGCCTTTACTCCTTTATCAAAGATCAGTTGACTATATTTATGTAGGTCACAGCATTTTGAGACCCCATGAAAAAAAAGTTTAATGAGAAAAAAAAAAACAAGCCCCCCCCCAAAAACACTGATCTTTTTATCTATTCTTTTGCCACTACCACACTGTCTTGATTACTGTAGCTTTGTAATAAGTCTTGAAGTCAAGTAGTGACAGTGCTCCCTCTTTGTTTTTTAGGATTGTATTGGCTATTCTGGATTTTTTGTTTTTCCATATAAAAATTAGAATCAGTTTGTGTATATCTAAAATAACTTGCTGGGATTTTGATTGGGATTGCTTTGAATCTATAAAGCAAATTGGGAAGAATGACATCTTGACAGTATTGAATCTTCATACCTATAAATATGGGTTATTTTTCCATTTACTTAGTTCTTTGATCTTTATCAAAGTTTTGTAGTTTTTCTCATTTAGGTCTTGTACATATTTTATTATATTTGAACCTCAATATTTCATTCTTTCGGATGCTAATATAATTGGTGTTCTGTTTTTAATTGCAAATTTTACTTGTTCATTGCTCGTGTATAGGAAAGCAATTGACTTTTGTATATCATGCAACCTTGCTATAATAGGTTTTTTGTTGTTATTGATTCTTTTGGATTTTCTACATAGGCAATCATTTCATCTGCGAACAAAGATGATTTTATTTCTTCCCAATCAGTATAGCTTTTCTTGTCTTATTGAATTAGCTAAGATTTCTAGTACAATATTGTAAAGAAGTGATGAGAGGGGACAACTTTGCCTTATTCCTGATCTCCATGGGAAAGTTTCTATTTTGTCATCATTAAGTATGATATTAGCTCTAGATTTTTTTTTTTATAGATGTTCTTTGTCAAGTTGAGGACATTTCCCTCTATTCCTAATTTACTGAAAGTTTTATCATGAATGGCTGTTGGATTTTGTAAAATGCTTTTTCTGCATCTCTTGATATGGTCATGTGATTTTTCTTTAGCCTGTTGATATTATGGATTACTTAATTGATTTTCAAATGCTGAACTAACCTTGTATACTTGGGATAAATACCACTTGGTTGGGTGTATACTTCTTTTTATACATCATCGTTGGGTTCAATTTGTCAATATTTTCTTAAAGAATTTTGTATCTTTGTTCATGAGAGATGTTGGTTCATAGTTTTCTTATAATGACTTTGTCTGGTTTTGGTATTAGGGCAATGCTGGCTTCATAGAATGAGTTAAGAAGTATTCCTTCTGCTTTTGTCTTCCGAAAGAGATTGTAGAGAATTGCTATCATTTCTTCCTAAATGTTTGCTAGTATTCACCAGTGAACCTATCTTAGCCTGGTGTTTTCTGTTTTGGAAGGTTATTAATTGATTCATTTTTTCATTAGGCCTATTCAAATTGTCTCTTTCTTTTTACGTGAGTTTTGGCAGATGGTCTTTCAAGGAATTGGTCCATTTCATCCAGGTGATCAAATTTGTGGTCATAGAATCGTTCATAGTATTCCTTTATTATCTTTTTAATGTCCATTGGGTCTATAGTGATGTTCCCTTTTTCATTTCTGAGATTAGTAATTTGCATCTGCTTTTTTGGCTAGATGATTGTCAGTATTGTTCTTTTCAAAGAACTAGCTTTTAGTTTTGTTGATTATCTCTATTGATTTCCTATTTTCAATTTCACTGATATATGTTCTAATTTTTATTGTTTCTTTCTTCTGCAAACCTTGGATTTAATTTTCACTTTTTCTAGTTTCTTGATAGCTTAGATGGTTGGTTCTAATATATGCATTTGATGCTGAAAATTTTTCTCAAAGCACTGCTTTTGCTACATCCTACAAATTTTGATAAGTTGTTTTTTTAAAATTTTTATTTAGTTTAAAATGTTTCTTTTTGAGCTTTTATATTTGAGTTTATTCTTCATTTAACTTTTAAAACACTACTATAAATATTAAAACAAAAAACAATAGGAAGTAGTGAACATATTATGGTTATAGTCTTTTGCTCATTCACTACTGCATATATAATGCCAAAAGTGAGTGTCATTCACTGGCTCCATTAAGAAGTCTGACCCTGAACACCACCCCTAGCATGATGTTCGTCATACTCATGTGCTTCTCCATTGTAATGGCGCTGTCTTTCTTGACTTAGATCAAAATTCATCAGTTCTACCTGATCCATTTCATCAGTCTCTTCTACTTCCTTCCTTTCAGGTAGGAAGTTTTCAAGCAAAGAGAGTTTATCAGGAGAAAGAAAGTCATTCTTAGGAAAGTTTGCCTTAAATTTGATGATTAGGCAACCCTTTTCATTTGCTCTATAATAAATGGCATGCCTTCATTTAGCATACACTTGATATCTACATGCTTGACAATCTGACCTGGAAGAGAGGTGATGACTATGGTTTGGTTGTCAAGAGTAGATATTGACTTTTGGAGGCCACACAATGCTTCAGCCAGCTCTGTGTCCATACACATGAAAAGATCTTCTTGTCAAGTAAAAACAGCATGGTCTTTCTGATCTAAAACTATGGTAATATCTCTGCGCTCAAGTCCTGGTTCTTGGTCTCTTTCACCATGGAATGTTATCTTCTGGCCATCTTTCATGCCTTTGTCCATATGAACTTCTAGAATCTTCTTATCTCAAACTATCTTCTTTCCATTGTAGTTTTTACATCTGTCTTTAGGTCTGATCTGTTTCTCATGGCACCGGCACTCCATGCACATAGACTGAATTTGCTGAACCATTCTGGGTCCTATCTGATGAATTCTGACTTGCATCCCAGTACCTTGACAATTAGGACAGCATTGTACTGCTCCTTTCTTACCACCTTGGCCTTTACATTTGTTACAAATTTTTGTAGAGCTAGTTTTCTTGTTGCACCATTATATAATTTTTCTAAGATTACTGAAAGCTGATGCACAACATATTTACCTCTCCTTTCTCTGCATTCTTCCTCCTCTTCCTCCAAAAAACATTAAAGGTGTCCATGTGGGAGCCAAAACCGCCATCTGCTCCACCTTCTTTATGACTGTTCTCCTTTGTCATATAATTCCCTTTTCTTTGCATCAGAGAACACTTCATAAACTTGAGAGATCTGTTTAAATTTCCTTGCTTCATTTGTATTCTTATTAGGGTGATAATTCAAGTCTAGTTTCTTGTAAGCCTTTTTCAGTTCTTCCTAGGCGGCATTGGGTTTGACCCCCAAAACATCATAGTAAGTGATTTTTTTTCACCCTTTTTGACAGCAGGTGAGCGGGCCTAGCTGGTGTGGGGCAGCAGGAAGAAGCGTGTTGTTGTGTGCAGCTCAGGCAGCCGCGACTCCTTCTAGTTCAAAATATTTTTTAAGTTTTTTTTGAGATTTCTTCTTTGACCCTTGTGTTATTTAGAAATGTGCGTTATTTAATCTCTAAGTATTTTGGGATTTTTCTAGCTGTCTTTCTCTTGTTGATTCTTAGTTTATTTATATTCCATTGTGGTCTGAGAGCAGACATTATATAATTTCTATTCTTTTAAATTTGTTAAAGTGTGTTTTATTGCCCAGAAGATGTTCTATTTTGGTGAATGTTCCATGTAAGCTTGAGAAGAATGTATATATTCTAGTGTGTTTGGATGATATAATTGATAGATGTCAATTATATCCAGTTGATCCATGGTGCTGTTAAGTTCAACTATGTCTTTATGGATTTTCTGTCAGTAGGACCTGTCCATTTCTGATGGAGGGGTTCTGAAGTCTCCAACACTAATAGCAGATTTATCTGTTTCTCCTTGTGGTCCTGTCAGTTTTACCTCTTGTATTTTGACTATTCGTTATTAGGCCTATATGAAGTAAGGATGTCTTCTTGGAGAACTGACCCTGTATCATTATGTTATGTCCTTTTTTATCCTTGATAACTTTCCTGGCTCTGAAGTTAGCCCTGTCTGAAATTAATATAGCTTTTCTAGCTTTCTTTTGTTTAGTGTTAACATGATATATCTTTCTCTGTTCCTTTATATTTAAAGTGAGTTTCCTGTAGACAACATATAATCGGGTCTTCTTTTTTTTCTTTTGATCTGCTCTGACTTTTAAAAGTCTCTGTCTTTTAATTGGTGTATTGAGACCATTGATGTTTAAGGTAATAATTGATACATTTGGATTACTATCTACTATATTTATTACTGTTTTCTATTCATTGCCCTTGTATTTTGTTCTTAATTTTGTCTTCCATTTTCTTTCTGCCTTTTGTAGTTTTATACAATTCCATTTTCTCTCCTTAGCATATCAGTTACACTTTTTTAAAAGCATTTTTTGTGGGTGCCCTAGAGCCTATAACATAGATTTTAAAAATATGTAATGCTTTATGAATTTGCATGTCATCCTTGTGTAGTGGCCATGTTAATCTCTGTATTTTTCCAATTTTAGTATATGTGCTGTTGAAGTGAGCACTTAACATGCTTTAATTTTATCCCGAGGGACCTCCTAGCAGTTCTTTTAGTTGGATATGATCAGCCTCATATGATCAGTCTGTGAGGCAGATGTGAACACATGCCCCTGAGTGCCAGCCCAAAAGCTTATGCTCTTCAGAGAGTAGAAAATCCTAATGGTTTTGTCACTGACTAGTGTCTGCTCCACTCTTGTTCCGGTATCAGGTTCAAGGCCACATGCTGATGCCCTAGGCCCCCATGGTTTTATTGCTACACATTTCAATGACTTTTTGTTCTCAGCATCACTTCTTCATCTTCAGAACTGCCATTTTCTCTCTGGAGATGGAAAACACCAACAAGCCACCTCTGTTGTAGAAGAAGGTGGTATAAACACAGTTCTTAGGCTAACCCAGTAACACGCTTATTTCTTTTTCTTTCTTTTTTCTTTTTTTTAAACAGATGTGATGTTTACTGGTACAGCAGATGGCCAGGTCATAAAATCTGAAAATGGTGAAATAGAGGCAGACCATCACGCGATTGGTTGGGGTCAGGCCCGTGCAGTAAGTCAGCAACAGTCCCCCCGACATACATCTCTTCCATTCATTCAGAAAGGTGCCGAATGGCCTTGTGTAAATTAGGTTCACCCTTGGAGAAAAAGAGCCCTGACCACCTGGCAGAGAGCTTGACTTGGGTGTTACCACGTGCCCTTCATTTGTTGCTGGTCCCTGGACCTCACGATGCCTGGTTTTCACCTTGCATCACAATTTCCCAGCTAGGCAGTGGCCACGGCACCTGCTGGTTACTTCTCGGGCCCCACCCATTGCCATTCTGCAAAGGCCCTTGTTCACTTCTGAGGTAACTTGGAGAAGATTAATAGGTGGCGTTTGAGTGTTGCTATAGCAAAGCAGTTGGCTTTGTCATTACTTGGATGCTTAAATGTGTTTCCTACATTAGCTTCTCAGAAATTTTAGTATTGTTAATCAAAGTGAAAATATCCTGAAGTCACTCTAATTTTAGAAAACTGGAGTAGAAGAATCTCACTGTTGAAACACTGGTAGTCCAGACTTTTTATTAGTTATCATATTTTAATAGCTAGAATGTTTTTATAAAAATGATACATTTTCATTGTGAAATGCAAACAACACAAAGGTACAAAGAAGAAAAAAATCACTCCAGTCTTCTCAGATTAGCATTTTAATGAATAAGTTTTCAGATATCTTTCTGTTCATGGATGCTCATACATACTATTATATGTAATGGAATAATGCTATGCATTTGGTTCTTTAACCTGCCTTTTTCCACTCCATATTTGGTTGTAAGTGCCCTATAGTAAGCATACTGCAGCAGGCACTCCTGCCGTAAGCACTTCTGCAGTGAACACTCTGCAGTAAGCATCCCACAGCAGGTACTCCACACTAAGCACCCTACAGTACGCACCCCTGTAATAAGCACCCCACAGTGGGTGTCCCTACAGTAATCTCCCTGCAGTAAGGATTCCTACAGTGAGTATCCTAGAGTAAGCACCCCACAGTGGGCACCCCGCAGTAAGCACCCTGGAGTAAGCATCCCATGGTAGTCACATCTGGAGTGAGCACCCTGCAGTAAGCACCGCACAGCAGGCACCCTGCAATAAAGACCCCCACAGCGAGCACCCTGCAGTGAATATGCATTACCACAGAATACTGGGTGGCGGGGTCTGCCTCCAATGCCATGGTCTTTTTTATTCTCTGTAGTACTATGCATATTTAAGAAGAGAGGAATGAGGTGCTTAAACACTGATAGGGGCGCACAGGCAGAATCTTGCACCAGCCACCAATTCCTGTCT